ATGCAGGAGGCAACCAATCAATGTGTCTCGTTCACATCGATGTTTCTTTCTCTGTCTCTCTCCTCTCTCCCTCTCTTCCCTGTCTCTCTTTCTTGCTCTCTCTCCCCTCCCACCCTTCCACCCTCTCTAAAAATCAATGGAAAAAATATCCTCAGGTGAGGATTAATTTAAGAAAAAGTTAGGTGTTGGATATACTAATATCTTTTTTATTTAAATTAGGTGCCAGATATTCTTGCGTCTTGACAAGCTGTACAATGATTTCCCATCGCAGCCCGCTTCTCAAGTCCCTGTCTCCTACACCACATAACAAAGGGGCTGTAAAGATGGGCCTGTGCAGGTTTGAGAGTTAATAAATAACACCATCGCTCTGACCGTCAGTAGCCTGCGGGCAACACCAGTGCTCTCTCTCTTCAAGAAGTAACAGTAAAGCCAGATGTTAAAAAAAGTGTTGGGGGGGGGGAGAATAAAGCTAGAAAAGACCAAAAGGGTCAAGTTTTGTGGGTTAATCCCAAAATCTAAGAGTAAGAAAGAAAAATGAATGCACAGGATGTATCTGCCCACCATCCCATTTGCCATCAGTCTGTCTGTCCATCTGTCTGTCCCCAGGCACTTACTGAACTTAGCACAATAGCCAGAAGTAGGGCTGTGGTGATCAAGGACGTGGTCCCTGTCCCCTCCGCCCTCCGAGCCAAACCTCAGTTTATAAGTTTGTAAAGAAGCAATAAGTTAGAATAGCTAACACTGTCAGCTGCCTCTATGAGCCAGGCACCGTGTTGAAGGTTTGTCTCTGGGAGCGCAATCAGCTGCACCACAAGGTCCTGGGGACTGAGGGGCCATCTGAGGGCCTGCCTCACACGGCTGTGCAGTCAGGGTTCACCCCTTCTCCGGGGTCTCATTCTGGCTGTCTTTCCTCAACCTTCTCTTTCTTTGCAGCCTCACTTGGGCCCAGCCCATGCCCGTTCTGGTGTCCCCAGATGTGCCACGCTCTCCCACACCTTCATCTTGGTACAGATGTCCCCTCCCTGCAGGTCCTCCAATGCACATCTGGAGGATCTTGTTCACCTTTAAGTTGCTAAAGTGACACTGCTTGGGGACCCGTCCCCAGATCTCACTGCGTCCTCCCAGTCAGCTGCCGTCCATCCCTGCAGCCGCTTACAGGATGGCAGGTAAGTGAGACTGTGTGGTGGGTTCCTCTCCCAATACCCAGGGCAGGCGCATCGCAGAGCTGCCGGCCTCCACTCGCTGGCTCACGTGGAAGCACTTTACGCTCATCGTCTCATATCATTTACCCCTCACACTCTCTACGAAGGAGGTCTCACCCCCAGTTTATCTATGGGAAACCCAGGCGTACAGAGAGGAAGAACCTGCCCAAGGTCACACTCGGGGCTGCCGGTTCCAACCACAGTAAGTATGTGCTGAAATACACCCATAAGACACACAGACCATGCAAAGAGATGGCTTTCAGTGTCATCTCAGCAGCCCCCAGACTTGAGTCCACAAGTCCTCACCCCGGAGACCTGCCTAAGGACAACACGGTGTGTGGAAATCCAAACTGAAAACAACTAGAGATGCTCGTGCTTGTTTTTCAGCAAATATTTGTTTCCACCAATAGCTTTGTACTATGCGGTGAGTGGACACGAGGGTGGGAAAAAGGGAGGGAACAGAAATGGAAACAGCGCCCCTGCGCCCAGGAGGCTGAGGGGCTCCTGGGAGGGCCCTGGTGGGTGTGAGGCTGGCACCCAGCCTGGAAGAGCAGCCCTCCAGGGTCAGGTGTCTTCTGTAACAGGAGGCTGAGGGATCATTTCTGCCCTGGTAGTGCTGGGCAGCGAGGACAGCAAGACTGGACAGGGCCACTGGACAGCAGGGTGAGGGCCGGCTGTTTAGGGCACGCACGCCACAGCGCAGGACTGACCAAGGGGAACAAGGCCTCTCAAAATGGAGCATGGGGCCGGGTCTGAGGACAGAGAGTCGCGCAGGCCAAGAGGAGGGCGGGGAGGTCTCTGTGCAGAGAGGTATGATGCCTGGGCCAGGAGACCACTGGGCGTGCTGGCCCATGAAGGTGTGAAAGGAAATGAGCCACGGGAGGAAGTCCAGAGGACTCAAAGACCACAGTGGCTTTGAGCGGACCCTCGGGTTGAGTGACCTGCCACAGGCCAGAGTATCTGAGTCTGCCCAGTGCCCCCAGAAGTGCCCCGACCCTTCCCTCTGTGAACTGTCCTGCCTAAGAGTCACTTCAGGTCTTACCTCCCAGGTGCTGGACTAACCCTTCTTGCTGTGCTGGGAACCCCTGAGCTGTCTGTGGGGCAGCCACCTCCCTGGCACTGCAGGTGGAAACCAACCCCCGCAGGTCAGGGCACTAGGGATGGTCACAAAGAGTCATTGCCCTTGACTTCCTCCAGGGCCTCAGAGCATCCCAATGCCAGCTGTCACTTTCTTTTCCATTCTCTTCTCCTCCATGGGGACACCACACACAAACATCCCACAGGAGCAAAGAAAGCGTGTCCTCCACCACCACCACAGCCACCACCACCATCGCCACTACCACCAGGCCTGTCCACCCCCGCCACCGCCACCACTACCACCACCACCACCAGGCATGTCCACCACCACCACCATCGCCACCACCACCACCACCATCACCACCACCACCACCACCATCGCCACTACCACCACCACCATCACCACCACCACCACCACCAGGCATGTCCAGCACCACCACCACCGCCACCACCACCACCACCATCACCACCACCACCATCACCA